CTAAAATACTGAAAACAAAAACAAAAAAACTGGACATATCCCTTGATGAATGCAGAAAGCAGTTAAAATTTAAGAGATTTTTTTCCATAAAAATACTTGAAATATTAATGTAATTTTCAACTTTTTTAGGTTAAATACATCTTTTCTGACAAAACTGGTACTCTAACCTGCAATGTAATGCAGTTTAAGAAGTGCACCATAGCAGGAGTTGCATATGGGTGAGTTCTTTTCCTTAAATTAGAATTTGAAATACACATTTAATTCACGCTAATGACATAGTGCCTAAGGCATTTGACTGCTAACCAGAATGTTGGCAGTTCAAACCCACCAGCCACTCCACAGAAGGAAGACTGGGCAATCTACTTCCATAAAGATTTACTGCCTCGGAAACCCAAAGGGGGTCGCTGTGAGTTAGAGTCGACTCAGTGGCAATGGGTTTGGTTTTTTGGTTCTTAACAATTTGGTATATATTTGGGGTATTCTACTTACTGGGAGGGATTTTGTAGTTTTAATTTAGAAAGCAGCTGTTTTAATTCCATATCCATGTGTGTTTTGCATCTCATAGCTTGGTATTGTTTTCATTTGGAATTAGTGAGATGGGGGCTCTGCCTAATAATGTTTTCAATATTTTGTGTTGCTGAGGGTCTCCATCTGACCATAATAACGAGGTACATAGTGCCCTGTACATTTTCATAAAGTCAGGGTACAGCTTGCATGTGGTAAGAACAATGCGGTCTGTCGTTGGGCAGTTTTCAAGTTAAAATATTCATTATCCTTTAGATTTCATTTTTCTTATATCATCTGATATTATTCATCCCTTTGGTTTTTTTTTTTCCTTATTATCATTTCTTCCCTTTGCAATCACTCACTAAAATCCATTACATCAAGACAATTCCAGCTTATAGCAACCATGTAGGACTGAGTAGAACTGCCCCAGGGCTGTAATCTTTATGGAATCCGACTGCCATTATCTTTCTCCCACAGGGCAGCGGGTAGGTTCGAACAGCCAACCTTTAGTTAGCAGCTGAGCACTTTAACCACTGTACTCTCAGGGCTCCTTTTCTTACAGTCACTGAACAATTTAAAATTCTGATGGTGGGAAGGAGACAGGGACATGAAACACTTAAATCCAAGTAATAAAAAAGCCTTTGATCGGATTTTTAATGTTCATTAGTGTGTGCTTGCTTCCTGAACACCCATTAATTGCTTGCTTCCAGATGGACTTGCCTAAACTATTGAAAAGTCTGCTATTTGAAATATTTTATAGGGCAATTTGAGAAAATTAATTCGTAGAAAACACATGATCAAAAGGTAAAACATCCTCCTTCTTGATGAACGTGGGCCCATTATTAACTTTTCCAACTGTACTTATCTGCAAGTGAGACTGGTAAATATCTAACTCTTGGCCGTAATAGCAGGGGCACTGGTGTTTGGGTTTCCTGACTTGCTTCCATTCTTAGTAACTTATTTGCTGTCTCCTAGTGGTCTCTATGAGTCGGGGCCAACTCGAAAATTACTGTCAACCACCTTTCTGTAGAAGTTTCCTCTGGACACTCTTGGGTTCTAGTGACCCAGATAGGGAAGTAACATGGTTTCGCTATCTCATTTGCCTGAAAGCAATGTTTAACATTTGTTTAATTTGAGGAACTATTATATGTGTGCACTTCCAGCTCCAGCCAAAGAAAGCATGGTGTTGGTCCCTCCAGGAGTTGGCCAAACGGAGCTTTAAAGTAATGCAAACTTTCACATACTAACAGTTGCCTTTGAGGTTACCAATTCATAGGTGGTACTTGGGCATTTTTGAGAATTAAGGAAAAGCTATTTTGTCCTAGATAGAGTCAAAGGTGAGTTCTGTCGAGTTTTATCAGAAAGACAAGACTTGAAGCCGCCTGGTGGTATAATCTCTATCCAGCTGTGTGTATCCCTTAAGTTTGTAGGAAGATGTATTTAATACATAAACTACTACTTCAAAAATTTAATCTTAATAAAATTTCTCTCATTTCATTTGCTCTCATTTGGACCTTTGATCCAAATTGGATTCATAATGAGCAACAAAATAAAAAGATTTGTACACACTGACAGATGATGATTATTTGAAACAGAACTATTGGCATCAGATGCACTGTGCTTACAAATGCATTAGCTTATTTCAGTAGATCTTTTTATTCCCCCCTTATGAGAATTGGATTTAAATGTAAATGAATTGTGTATCATTTGTAAATTTAACTTATTACAAGCTAAAAATTCTACTGCTAAACATTTACTAAAGTATCATTTCAGCAAATGTCTTCTGGGAAGAATAAGTCAGCTTTATTGCAGTTACTTGCATACCACGAAAGCTAAGTCAACTTTTATGTTTAGTGGCTAGGATTCTCATTGCGCTGAGGTTCTGGGCTGCACTGTGAAGTACCTTTGTGGATAATTTGGATTTCACTGTTAGAATGAGCTGATAAGCTGGGTGAGACTTAACACTGACAGGGTCTCTGAAGTTAATTTTGTTATTGTTTACTGTAATACAATACAGTCTATGAATAGCTCTACTGGATAGTATATTGTCTAGTGACAGGTTTGCTGAAAGGATCAGCTGCTACTTTAACCCTGAGAAGAGCTGCACCAAGAGAGAAACACCACAATCATTGTAATACTTATTCCCAGTGTCTAGGTTATAACCAACAAGTTTACCTTAGTGCTCATCCAAGACTAGTGGTAGATCCAGTGTGGTTGGATACTTCACTGGAGCAGTTGAATGGTTTGGGGGTGCCTTGGAATGGTAAGGTATGTGTTGCGGCCAGATTGGTGAAAAGTTAAAGTGAGTAGAGTGGACATTTACAAAGTGAAGGGATCCCATGAGTTTTCAACAAAGTTTATTATATAGTTGTCCAAACAGCAGTGACTTTACGTTTTTACAAACTCATCATTTTAAAACTCTGCCTATATCTAATACAGTCAAAGGAAAAATACTGATTGAGCATATTTAATGAAAGAAATGGGAAATAAGGAAATCTGTTTTGTCATGTACTTTGGGACATTTCTCACTAAATGCATGACTGGCTGGTTGAAATATAATCTACATATTGATCAGACACTCTTAGTGCTCAAATGAGCTAATGGAGGATTTTAAAGTGTCGATGAATTTGTTTGCAGTTCAAAATAGCAAATGCTTTAATTAGTGAATTATGGTTTAAGTGAAAAATTTTTACTGTAAGTTCATCTTTTAAAATATGGTTTCATTTACTAATAGAAATGAAATTAACTTTTATGTTAATATACCAGTTAAAATAACTATCACCTCATGGTGGTCAAAGTTACTTCTAAAATGTATTTGGCAAATTTTATCAGTGTAATATGGATCTCCATAAGTATTAACAAGTTTATTTCATTAAATCACTTTATTCTGATGATGCAGTGATTGATTTTTCAATCAATATCAAAATATGATTGATTATTCCATTTGCTTTAGTGCAAATTTAAACTGTTATGTTCAAATATTTCCTATAGACACTGAATTCTGTGCATAAATAAATAAATTTCATGATAAAGAGTCAAGCTGGTAATTCAGTTATAGCATAATTTTGTAACTGCTAACCAGAAGGCTGGTGGTTCAAACCTACCAGCCACTCCTCGCAAGGTAGGTTGGGCAATCCACTTCCATAGTGATATTGCCTTGGAAACCCAAGGAGGGGTCACTATGAGTCAGGTCCGACTCAAGGGCACCTAACAACACCAACAACATAATTTTGTAAATCTGCTTAGTTAACATAAATCATCATGATCTACTTACTGTACTAACTGCCATTTCTTCAGAATCAACTAAATGTTCATTTTCCTACATTTTTAGAGATCCAGGCTTCTTTTCTTCAGGCTTTGGTTTCCAGCCTTTCTGTGATTATTTTCCCTCTTTTTTCTGTCCCTCCTCTTGCTCTCTATGAAGCCATGTCCCTGAACCTGAGGAATATGGCTGCTCTCCTGATGAATGGTAAGCTGTGTGGACCTGTCTGTCTCTTTAGTTATTCCTGTAAAATGTTTGCATTTGATTGTTTCATTAGACACATTTCACTGCTTGTGAAAAAAAAAGAAAGCAAGGATTTACTGGTCAGGTAGGTGATAATGCTGTAAAGTAAATATTTCTTAAAATTTACCAAGTATCTTTGATTTTCTGTTGAATAACCTTAAATTATTTTGTAACCATTTAGTCTGACGGTTAGCTTGCTAGAGTTCTAGATTACATATCTATAATGCAGTTTATAATGATCACCTCCCAGGTCTCTGGGCTGTGTGGACTACTTTAGGATTTGCTCTGTAGCACCTGAACCTTTCTATGTTTTTAGCTCAGCACTGCCACCTTCTGCCACTATTAACTATCTACAAAGCTACGGAAAGATGTTACTGAACCCTACACAGCAGTGGAAATTTCCTTTAACATTTCTTTTCATCAGCTTAATAAGGCTATGAGGAAGCTGGGAAATGAACTTTTAAAAATGTCTATGGCAAATGTTAGAAGACTAAGCTACCAATGGCTACAATTAACTGGAATATGATACATTTTAGAAATATTAAAGAGTGTATTTTATAGGCTTAATCTGGACACTTTTCATTTTTCACTTTGTTTAACATTAAAATCCCCTCCCTCCATGCACTGAAGGCATTGGTGAATAACAAGGCTCCAGGAGTTGATGGAATACCAATTGAGATGTCTCAACAAATGGATGCAATGCTGGAAACACTCACTCATCTATGCCAAAAAATTTGGAAAACAGCTACCTGGCCTACTGACTGGAAGAGATCCATGTTTTGCTGAAGATAATTCAAAAATGGTTGCAGCAGTATACTATTGACAGGGAACTTTCAGAAATTCAAGCCGGATTCAGAAGAGGACGTGCAAGAAGGGGTATCATTGCTGATGTCAGATGGATCTTGGCTGAAAGAAAAGAATACCAGAAAGAGGTTTACCCGTATTTTATTAACTGTGTGGATCATAGAAAATTATGGATAACGTTGAGAAGAATGGGAATTTCAGAACAATTAATTGTGCTCCTGAAGGAGCTCTGGTGGCATAGTGCCTAAGGCATTTGACTGCTAACCAGACGGGTGGTTTTTCAATTCACCAGCTACTCCTCGGAAGGAAGGTTGGGCAATCTTCTTCTGTAGTGATACCACCTCGGAAACCCAAGGAGGGGTCACTGCGAGTCGGATCCAACTAGACGGCAGTGAGTTTGGTTTCTTTTGGTTTGAGGAACTTGTACATAGACCAGGAAGCTGACATTTGAACAGAACAAGGGCATACTGTGTAGTTTAAAATCAGGAAAGGTGTGTGTCAGGGTTGTGTCCTTTCACTTACTTAGCCTGTATGCTGAGCAACTCATTCCATAATCTGGACTGTATGAAGAAGGCAGCATCAGGTTGGGAGGAAGACTCATTAACGACCTGTGCTATGCATATGATACAACCTTGTTTGCTGAAAGTATAGATGACTTCAAGCACTTACTGATAAAAATCAAAGACTGTAGCCTTTAGTATGGATTATACTTCAACATAAAGAAAACAAAAATCCTCACAACTGGACCAGTTGTGAGTTCTCCATGATAAATGGAGAAAATATCGAAGTTCTCAAGGATTTCATATTACTTGGATCCACAGTCAACACCTGTGGAAGCATCAGTCAAGAAATCAAACAGCCTATTGCATTGGAGAGATCTTCTGCAAAAGAGCTCTTTAAAGTGTTAAAAAGTAAATATGTCATTTTGAGGAATAAGGTGCATCTGACCCAGGCAATGTATTTTCAATCACCTTACATGCATGTGAAAGCTAGACAAGGAATGTGGAAGACTGAAGAAGAATCAATGCCTTTGAATTACGATTTTTCTGAAAAATACTAAATATACCCTGGACATCCAGAAGAATGTACAAATCTGTCTTGTAAGAAGTACAGCCAGCATGCTCCTTAGAAGTGAGGATGGTGAGACTTTATCTCATGGACTTTGGATGTGTTCTCAGGAGGGACCCATCCCTGGAGAAGGACATCATGCTTGGTAAAGTAGAAGGTTGGTGAAAAAGAGGAAGAGTTCCAATGAGATGGATTGTCACAGTGACTGTAACAGTGGGCTCAAACATCTCAACGGTTGTGAGGATGGGGCAGGACCAGACAGGTTTGTTTTGTTGTACACAGAGTAGCTATGATTCAGAACCAACTTTATGGTACCTGACAACAATAATAATTATGGATTCACATGTTCATCTAGTATGTTGTTGTTGTTGTTGTTATGTGCCGTCGAGTCGGCCCCAACTCATAGCAACCCCTCCTTGGGTTTCCGAGGCGATATCACTACGGAAGTAGATTGCCTAACCTTCCTTCCGAGGAGTGGCTGGGGGGTTTGAACTGCCAGACTTCTGGTTAGCAGTCAAGTGCCTTAGGCACTACACTACCAGAGCTCCTGTTCATCTAGTATAGTGTCTGTTTATTTTGTTATTATTTCTGTCATTCATTATGATTTATTGGTAAATGAAATTTCAGAAAATGGGTTTCTTTAATCCTTTAGAAAACATTGTAACTATAAGTTGTTACATTTTTATTTTCAGGTAACATACACATATATGAGTAAGCCACATTTTCAATGTGCATTGTAATTCAGTAATATCATTTAATATTTTCCACCTAGAATTTATTAGAGGAAAGTAGAATGAAAATTTGCAGATAACCTCATAATACCTAAGGGTAATCAAATGACAGAGGCAGCTGTTTGGTTAGTTTTGACAGCTGGTGAGTCATCTCATGTTAGCTCATCACTTGAAATGCCATACGTTTTGACCCCTACACACAGCTGAATCATTGTCAGTATTTTTTAAAATATGACAGAGCATCTCACTGTTGATGGATAATTCAAGATCAATGAATGATGTGAATCATTGGCAGGGTTGGATTTATTTAATCCTTTGAGAATGTGGTTTAAAATTTGTTTGCATTTATTGTTTTTCTGTTACATGAATGTAATTCTTTTCATTTTAAACAGTTAGTGTAGAATTGATGCACATTTTCTCTACAATAACTAAATTATTTCTAACAGGAGAAATTTGCCTTCACTGTATTTTTCTTAAGATTGGATGAAATTGTTAAAACTTGATGTTTTTTTATTCCAATCATTTTAAATATTATACCTTCCTTTTTTTTTTTTTTTTTAGTAATCTTGCTATCTTTGGATGACCCTTTTTTTATTATTATTGTGATTTGGGTGAAGGTTTACAGAGCAAATTCACTTTCCATACAGCGGTTCACATATACCTTCTCTCATGACACTGGCCACAGTTTACCACAATGCAACAGCTCCCCTCCCACTTCCTCCTCCTAGTTACCTCTTCCTTGTGTCCATCCCTCCATGCACTCCTGCCCCCTGAGCTGTTTCCCTGTGCATAAGCAGCCCTTCTTTCTCCCATGATTGTTCTCTCCAAGGAGTGTATCTACCTGAGGTAAATGTTCAACTCATATGCCTATCTTTTGTTTGGCTGGACACCACAGGTGTGCATTCAATTCTAGATCTGAAGGGCAGCTAGGGGACATAGTCTCAGTCGTTACACGAGGCTCTATCAGACCAGCAAACCTGGTCCCCCTCCCTTTTTTTTTCTCCAAATAATTTTGAGTTTTGTTCTACATTGTTCTCCCTCTCTATCAAGTTTCTCCTACATAGATCCCCTTCCAAGTGAATGACAGTGGTAGGTAGGCACATCTAGTTCTTCTGGTCTCATAGTTGTATAGGTTGCAGATCGGATGGTGTACCAGTCGCTAGGACTAATTGTTTCCATGAATTTTGGTTTTCTTCATTCTTTTTTGCTCTGGACGAGGAGAGACCCATCGTTGCATCTAGCTGGCAGCTTGCTAGCTTTTAAGATCCCAGTAGCTACTTACCAAAGTAGGAGGTGGAACAATGTTTCATATAGTATGTTATGCCAATTGAGCTTGATGTCCTCTGCGACCATGGTCCCAGGTCCTCAGGTTCAACTACTTGGTCCATCTGGGTATCTGGCTGTGACCAAGCCATGACAACAACCTTGCCTTGTCAGCTCTGCTATGCACCTGGGAATTCTGATCATTCACATAAACTTATAGGACCATTGTCTGCCAACCCTATGTATGTTCTTGGATACACTCCCCATTTCATAGACACACCTAATCATTCAGCCTGTCCACCCATCTATCCACCCATATACCCATGTTTGCCTTCACTGGCAATGCAGTACTCTATGTGCAAAAGTGTTAATATTTGTTTTCTGTACCTCCCATGTACCTCTCTATGTCCTTCTCATCCTTAGTGTTGCCATATGGATCACTCACATTTGGTACATTGACCTTCTCTTCACCCAAATCAATACTTATTTCTATCTATCTAACAGCCTTCCCTCCCCTCCCCTCCCACCCCTGGTAACCAGCAGAGAAAATTTCCTTCAGTAGATTAACCTTTCCTTAACTTTACAATAATGAACTAATACAATATTTGTCCTTCTGTGATTGACTTATTTCACTCAGCATAATGTCCTCCAAGTTCATCCACGTTATGCAGTGTTTTGCAGATTCTAC